GAGGAAGGTAGTACACCAACCGTGCGGAGGAATTTGGAGACCTGAACTGAGGAGATGCTTTTATGGATTTGACAATATGTTAGATTTTGTCTGGATATAGCTATTTTCGTTTTTTGTTTTGTCTCATCTTTGGTGATTTGAATTTTTAGTGTTTGGTATGGATTGTTGTACAAATACCGATTTGTGAATGAAGTAGAATGTTGCGCCTTTCATTCTATGGATCTGGGATGCTAGGGAATTACTTTGTTGAGAAAATTGTTGTTTAACAAACATTTTCGACTAAAAAACGGTTAAGGCTAGGGAATTAATTTGTTGATTGGTTAGTGTTTGCACTCTTGGTTCATTCGGCCTTTATAAAACATTCTCACTTTTCTCCACTCGAACATACAATCCTTCGTGCAACGAAGATCATAAAAAAGGTACCAAGCTCTGATTTCTTTTCAAATCCCATCATGTATTTTCTCCGAGTTAGATCTTCTTATTTTATTGGTTTTTGGTTGAAGTTCTTTAGATTTGTCACCGATATGTAAGTTAGTATTTGTTTTGGTTTCTTTTTTATGGCATCTCCTATGATGATACAAATAAAACTTTCGATCTTCTGAGGAAGGTAATACACCATCCATGCGGAGGAATTTGGAGACCTGAACTGAGGAGTTATTTTTATGGATTTGAAAATATGTTATACCTTGTCTGGATATAGCCGATTTTCATTTTTTTTTTCCGTTTGTAGTGATTTACATTGTTAGTATTTGCTATGGATTATTTTAGGATTATCAATTTGTGAATGAAGCAGTAGGTTGAGTTTTTCATTCTATGGATTTGGGATGCTAGGGAATTAATTTGTTGAACGAAATGTTTTGTTTAATTGGGAACATTTTAGGCCAGCAAACGGTTTAGGCTAGGGAATTAATTTGCAAGTGAAATCTTTCAATTTTTGGATGGGTCTATATTTGTTAAATTTGTCAGGATTGCTTTTTTTTGGTTGGGAATGGTTTCTTTAGTTTTTGCATTATGATTGTTTTTTCTTGATTAGACTAGCAAACTGAACTAATAGGAGTTAAAAATTGAAACAATCACTTGACCTTCCCTTGTTTCTGCCTGTTAGAATGATTTATTATTATTTGAAGATGAAGTTACAATTACCGATTTGTGAATGAAGTAGTATGTTGCGCCTTTCATTCTATGGATCTGGGATGCTAGGGAATTAATTTGTTGAGGAAATTGTTGTTTAATTGAGAACATTTTCGACTAAAAAACGGTTAAGGCTAGGGAATTAATTTGTTGATTGGTTAGTGTTTGCACTCTTGGTTCATTCGGCCTTTATAAAACATTCTCACTTTTCTCCACTCGAACATACAATCCTTCGTGCAACGAAGATCATAAAAAAGGTACCAAGCTCTGATTTCTTTTCAAATCCCATCATGTATTTTCTCCGAGTTAGATCTTCTTATTTTATTGGTTTTTGGTTGAAGTTCTTTAGATTTGTCACCAATATGTAAGTATTTGTTTTGGTTTCTTGTTTATCGCATCTCCTATGATGATATAAATAAAACTTTCGTTATTCTGAGGAAGGTAATACACCATCCATGCGGAGGAATTTGGAGGCCTGTGTCGAGGAGTTGTTTTTATGGATTTGAAAATATGTTAGATCTTGTCTGAGTATAGCCGATTTCTTTTTTTTTGTTCCGTCTGTAGTGATTTACATTGTTAGTGTTTGCTATGGATTATTGTAGGATTCTCAATTTGTGAATGAAGCAGTAGGTTGAATGTTTCATTCTATGGATCTGGGATGCTAGGGAATTAATTTGTTGAATGAAATGTTTTGTTTAATTGGGAGCATTTTAGGCTAGCAAAGGGTTTAGGCTAGGGAATTAATTTGTAAGTGAAATCTTTCAAGTTTTGCATGGGTCTATATTTGTTAAATTTGTCAGGATTGCTTATTTTTGGTTGGGAATGGTTTCTTTAGTTTTTGCATTATGATTGTTTTTTCTTGATTAGACTAGCAAACTGAACTAATAGGAGTTAAAAATTGAAACAATCACTTGACCTTCCCTTGTTTCTGCCTGTTAGAATGATTTATTATTATTTGAAGATGAAGTGATAACTTGTATAAAAGGAAGAGATATAAATTATTGATTTAAGATTGGTGGTTAAAATGGAGAAGTGCCTTGGGAGTAAATTATGATAAGAGAATATATTGGAGACTTAATGTAGTTTCAACAAATTTATGGCTAGACTTGTTTTTTTAATATATGTTTATGAGTTATAAAGTATTAAATTCATTTTTAGCCGAGTTCATTGGCATAAAAAATTGATATGGTTGGAAGAGGGGAATAAAAATTATTATATGAAAAAGATTCTTATAGCAGTACTTTTTAAAGCTTTGATGGTGAAAATGGATATGGTCAATAATAGTAGTTGTTGCTTTCTTTTTTAATTTAAAATAGTCGAAGTTTTTGGCTGAAAATGATATGTTAAAGGACTGCAAAAGTTATTAAAGATTAATATGATACAAATTTGACCAGACTTTGAACTAATTACGGAGTATCCAACAAATTCTTGATCAGTTGTATCAAGGTCTTCATATAGCTATGGCGATATTTTTAAAGGATGCTTTTAAAGTGAGACACCTTTGTTTATATTTATTTTTTGTAGGCGACATATTTGTAATCTATGTAAGCTTTGGATTATGAAGAATATAGGGTGGTAGATAAAATAATTAAATTACAAGGGACATATTGTTTGTGTTACAAAAATATAATTTAGAATTTTTTATCGGTGTTAAATGTAGAATGAGTCATTGTTGCTAGAAGACCGAGTAATCCCTCAGTATAAAATGTTCAAGGAAGTTAATCTATTACATTGAAGATTGAGGATATAAATTATGCTCTAAAATGTAATTTTTAAAATGAAGAAGTCCTTTTAGGAGTAAATTATGATAAGTGAATATTTTGGATTATTGAGATGTGAAGATTAGCAGAGCTATGCTTTAATTGGCTATGTCATGAGTATTATAGTTTTGGGACACAATAATGTCATTTATAATAAATTTTAGTGTTGCAAAGATTGAGATTTTTGAGATTTATGTCCATCAATAGCAAGGAATGCTTGTATGAGAGAGTCTTTGATCATGGTGATGTTCAAACTTAGGAATTTGAGCATGTTAAATGGGGTTAAAAGATTGAGTCATAAAATGGACAATTAAGTTAATGTGGCTTTATTTGTAAGCATAAAGCGTACAGCCAAAGTAACATGGTTTTAAGTGGTGTAAATAATATACTCACAAACTAAGCTTAAACAGCTCGAAAATTTATAACAATAATGAAATCTTTAAATTGAGATGCTAATTAAAGCTGATTCTGAAGTATTTTCTTTTTTGTTTTTTGTCACAAAGCTTGGGTTTGTTGTATAGAAATATCTTAATTTTTTAGAATTAGATGGAACTATGCACTCCATAGGACACAATAGAGAGAAAAAAAATTCATTTAGCCAACCCAACTTAATCGTATAAAGGCTTGTTGTTTTTGTACACTCAAGCCTAAATGCAGTGATGCCTTGAACTCAGGATCTCTTGGTTGACAGAAGAAACCCTCAACCTTTAAGCCAAGATTGCTTGCATAAAGCTGACCTAGCAAGTTGAGTTATGAATTATTTAACCAATTGATTGTTGTTATTTTTTGTGCTATCAAACTTGGTATGTTGCCAAAACGTATTATTTTCTAATTTAATGGCTGTACTGACAGCAGATTAATCAGTTTTGGGAAATTTACATATATACAACTCAATTTCCATGTATTTGCATATCTAATACCTAAAGTTTAATTTTTACATGTAACACTTTGTTATTATAAACCTATGCATCTAAAGGTGTATTTTACTTCTTAAAAGTTAATAATGGTTGCATTTTTGATGGGATGTTAAAGTTTTTAGTGTGATAAATATAAAGATGAAAAATACTTAAGAATTGTGTGGTATCTATCTTTGTTTGATGACCCTTAGAACTGTGCCTCTTTTGAATGCAATTTGTTTTATATCTTTTGTTGAAATATTGCCATAAAAATCAAGTATTTCAGTAAGTTGAAGGGTTGTTATATATTCTATTTTAACTATGACTTTGCATTCATGCTATTTGACGTGACTTCTTATATTTTGGATCGATTTATAAAAGAAATTTATTTTGTGCATTTACATGCATACCACTGAATTTCTATGTGCCTACTCATCTAACACTTGAACTAGACTTTTTTAATTCTAAACTACACAAATCTTTCATATCATATAAAAGATATCACCATTTTAATTTTTTAAAATACAAAACACAGCTTTTCATGCATAGGTAAGTAGTGGCATATGTATGCAAAAGTTGAAGTTTGTTAGATATGTGACAACATATGAATGTATGTAAATCTCCTTTTTTTTGCTGCCTTCTCTAATAAGTTGTGCATTTTAGCAAAGCCCCCTATGATTGAATGAAATATGAGTTTCAGCCTTGTCTGAACATTCTTTTATGTTGAAAATCCAAAACATATGTATTCTGAGGGGACATACGAACTGAGCGGCATTTATGTAAATCTCCCTGTTCTTTTTTTATTTTATTTTATTTTATTTTTTTGCTGTCTTCTCTGATAAGTTGTGCATTTTAGTAAAAGCCCCCATGACTGAATGAAATGAGTTTCAGCCTTGTCTGAACATTCTTTTATGTTGAAAATCCAAAACATATGTATTCTGAGGGGACATACGAACTGAGCGGCATATTTATGTAAATCTCCCAGTTTTTTTGTCTTTTTTTGCTGCTTTATCTGAAGTTGTGCATTTTAGTAAAAGCCCCAATGACTGAATGAAATGAGTTTCAGCCTTGTCTGAACATTCTATTATGTTGAAAGTGCCAAGATATGTATTCTGAGGGGACTTCACTACTACATCTTATTCCAAATTTCAAAACTGTTCTTTTTGAAGCTATTAGAAAAAATCTCATACATACTCAAACCTGTTTCCCTCAGGCAAGATGGGACGAAGACCCGCCCGTTGTTATCGCCAAATCAAGAACAAACCCTACCCCAAATCCCGCTACTGCCGCGGTGTCCCTGATCCTAAAATCCGCATCTACGACGTTGGAATGAAAAAGAAAGGCGTCGATGAGTTCCCCTTCTGCGTCCACCTCGTCTCCTGGGAGAAAGAAAACGTCTCCAGCGAAGCTCTCGAAGCTGCCCGCATCGCCTGCAACAAATATATGACAAAAGCTGCCGGGAAAGATGCCTTCCATCTCCGCGTCCGTGTTCATCCCTACCATGTTTTGCGCATCAACAAAATGCTCTCGTGCGCCGGCGCCGATCGTCTCCAAACCGGCATGCGAGGTGCCTTTGGGAAGCCGCAGGGGACGTGCGCGAGGGTGGCGATCGGTCAGGTTCTGCTGTCCGTGAGGTGCAAGGATAGCAACAGCGCGCACGCGCAGGAGGCACTGAGGCGAGCAAAGTTCAAGTTTCCGGGGAGGCAGAAGATCATTGTGAGCAGGAAGTGGGGGTTCACGAAGTTCAGCAGAACAGATTATATAAAATGGAAGCAGGAGAACAGGATTGTTTCCGATGGAGTTAATGCGAAGTTGTTGGGTTGTCATGGAAGGCTTGCGCTGAGGCAGCCGGGGAAGGCCTTTCTGAGTGAGGATTTGACTACGCATGCTTAGTTGAAGGTTGGTTGGTTTGCTGCAACTTCTGCTTAGTTTTGTTTCTTGGCTTGTGTTAGAACTGGAACATGATGTGTTTGTAATACTTTGTTGTTATGTTATCTATTTGATCTTTGGATTGATAGAAACTGTATTTTGTGGTTTTCTTACACGCAGGTTGAACATTTATTATCTATTTATGTTATCTAACATTTAAATTTTCATGTTTATATACTTGGTGCTCTTATTATTGTTCAATATTATTCAAAAATATCGTTATTACTAAATTTTGGAAGGTGAAATATATCTATTTCATGTACAGATTTATACCAAAGTGCAGTAAATGTTAATTTGGAAGGTTAGGTGTTACACACAAGGATTGTTTGGTAAATGTTTATTGTTTTTTAAAGTCATAATTTCTAATTTTCACGCCTGATTATTTCTAAGTAATGATCTTGGTGATAAGTACGCGTATATTGATCAAATTGTAATATTGTTCTTAATGAATGTATTTTTAGTAAATTGGAACTTTAGAATGCTTGCATATATACCACCCAATTCTTATGTTCTTACGTATCTTTAATTTATGCCATTCAAATCTTTCACTATATTCGTTTATGCCACTCAAATGTTTTGTGTGACATTTTAATTTTAGAAAGTGGAATGCACATTTTAATGCATGGATTAGCTGATTAGGTGACATGTATGCAAAATTGAAGTTTAGGTGTTAGATATGTAAATATATAGGACTTGATGTCTATAAAAAAATAAAATATATTGGATGTCTTTAAAAATATTAGCTTACTTTTGCAATTGTAGCTAGCGTTTCGCCGGCTTGTAAAAATATGTATAATATTTAATACATTGACAAATCATTAGGGGTATTTTTTAAAATTAATTTTGTTTGTTTTTTAAAATAAATTATTTATTTATTTTTCTAGAAAAACCAAGGAATTAAGAGACCTTAATTATATTTGATTCCGATAGCGTTGCCTAATTTATCATATAATCTTTGTTCACTAAACATTTTATTGGAAAACTGAAATATATATGATAAATTTTTGCTATAAGCTATAACATATGAAGATATATTACAAGGCTTTGTGTCTCGCTTTTATTTGCAGTATAGTATAAAAAAGGTGATGCATTTTATGAAAACACAGCTTTTCTCTGTAGGTGCGGGATAGGTCACTCTCAACCACTATATCACGAGTAAGTGCACATATACGTGCTTAATTGATAAGTAAAACAATTTTATCAAGTTCTACCCAATTTTGAGTGAGCAAAACTTGAATGCAATGTTAAAGAGAGTTGATTTCACACAAACAAAAATTCAAATTAGTCAAACATAAAATATAACAATCTCATTCAGGCTTTGCTCACTTACATCCTATTTCTTTCTACTTGAAAGAACTATATTGATGATATGCTAGCCTCTATCTTTAACAAATTAAAATTGTTTTTCTTGGGCGTGGTGTCTGGTTTAATATTATTTACATGATTTTGGCTATAAATTTCACTTAAAACTCGCCAAACATTAAACCGTTGAATGGAATATCTCTTGTCTAGACTTTTTTTTTTCCCGTGTTCTATATATTTTCTCGTGTTTGTCTGTAAATTCAAATTACAACCAAACACCGCCTTAGAAGTAAAACTATAAAATCATAACTATTTAACATGTTCATAAAAATCACATAATATAAAATAAAGTTACACGCATAATCCACATACATAAATTTATATCATGTTCTACTAACCATGCCCTAAAAAAAGTAGGTAAAACAAATAATGCATGCAAGAGCTCTGTAAAATAACAGCCAAATGCATGTATATAAAGTTTGCCGCAATGCAACGAGTACCAAAACAAAAGTCCGAAAATCTCTTCAACTCGTTCTTCATCAATCGTCTCCCTACGAAGTTCTGAGAGCTGTAGCTATAAGTTCAGCTTTTGATTTAAAATCTCTGCAAAACGACATATGCGCCTGCAGCGCATCCTCAGCTGTATCGTTTCCTTTCTTCATCTTTTCATTAACAGCTTCAGAGCAGATACCACAAAGCCATTTTCCTGCAAAGTTGGCCATCACCTGGTTCAGGTATTCATGGGTGCATTCTTCGCTCCATCCGCAGCACTCACAATTTGCTGAAATGACGTCGACGTCGGTCTCCATGATTGAGTTTGTGGGAGGAGGTATGGAAGAAGATGCAGTGAGGCAGAAGAGAATCTGTTTGAATATTTTTGCTGCAATTGTTTGTAGGGTTAGGGGAGGTAGAGTTCTGTTTATTGTTCCAGACAAGGGGGAGAATGAGCTAAGTAGTGGAGTAAATGAACAGAGCTTATTGGTGGAATGATTTATTTCATGAGAAAGCAAAGATTGGACAAGTTCTGAAGGAATTGAATGATGATTGAAGGAAGAGTGGATGTATGTATATATACAAAGTATAAATGAGAGGAATAAATAAAATGTAATAAATGATATTATTTACAATAATGAGGATATAATATCATAATTAATGCTTTTGATTTGGACTATGGATATGAGACACATTTTCTAATATTTTATATGGCAAAAAATAGTTTGAATACCTTTAATAAACTTATCATAAATTGTTATAGTTTTGTGATAGGGGATAAAATAAAAATTTATTGTCAAGAACAAATTAAGCATTTTTTAGAAGTGAAAGTTGTGTGTAGTTTAATCTACACTATCAATGAAGTAACGTTTTTTTTTTTTTTTTTTTTTACATAATATTTTTTAGACGTTTGAGATGCATTGCTTCTCAAAGCTTATAAACTTAAATTACATGGAAATAAGTGTTGATATGATACCGTGAGATTAAGGGTATGTTTATGGTGGTTGTAAAGCTGTGGTGGAGAAAATAACTTCTTAGAAAGCTGTCGTGAGATTTATAAATATATATATATATA